TTTACATGGGATAGGAGAAATAATAAATAATAGTAAGAAAATAAATAAATAAATACAAATTAAATCGTAAAAGCTAAATATAAAAAAAATAAATAAAATAAATACACATTGAACTCGTCTCTAATTCATTTCTCTCAATTTCTTTGCATACAAGAGGAAAATAAAATTAGGGCATATGAAATGATTTATTTTTTAACTTCTAATTATTTGTCTCATTCAAATAAGGGAAATTGGAGTATTTTTATTTCTTTGTTCCAATTTTTCTGTACCAAACACCATCTTTTAAGTTTTATGTACCAGGCACGATTCATAAGTCTATGAATTGTTTTGTACTTCAATGTTTCTAAATACTTTTAAAAATTTGAATTGAATACTGTCCTATAAATATAGTAAATGTGAAGTGCAACAATAATATAATGCTTCCTCCGTCCCATAAATATAGTCTTAATTGAGTTGGACACGAGATTTAAGAAATATTGATATTATATTGGTAGTTGATAAAAAAACATGGATAAAATTTTTTTTGCCCTTGTGAGTTTATTGGTTTAAAAAGTAGTGAGAATTGTTTAATAAAAATAAAAAAAGTATTGAGTAGTTTTATGGTGATTTGGTTATTTATGGAAATAAAACTATTATTTTAAGACGAACAAAAATGGTAAATAAGACTATTGTATTGAGACATTAAAGGAATGTAATAGAAAAATTAAGGAATAGATAGTAAATCTTTTTTTTTAAAAAAAAGAACTTAATGTAAATTAAATAATGTAGTATATTAAATTATATAATTGAACACATTTTGACACTCGCAATCTATGGTAAGGGAAATGTTTATGTGGTGTGATATCTCAAGTTAGACTCTATAAACAAAAATTATACTAGAGGATGGACGGATCCATGGGACCTTGGGGTCACCCGTCCCCCGCCCCTGAAAATATTTATTTTCTCAGTCCGTTTATAAAGATTATATTTATTTTTGTGTTATTGTACTTAATATTAAAAATATTTTTATATTTATATAATTTTTTTTTTACAAATGTCCTTTTGTAATTATTATAAAATACTAATAGAAGTATTTTTTGCAATTTTTTTTTTTTAATTTGTACTAAATTTTAATATAATAATTAATATTCAAATATTAAAAACCGAATGAAGATAATATTTTTTTTAGTTAAAAATATAATAAAAATTATGCATTTTTAATAATTTGTCTTTTCTATTTTTTAATTTTTATTTTTATTATGAACAAAAAAATAAACAAAATTTGATAATTTTATTGATTTGAAAAGGAATTAAAGATAGACAATGAAAAAAAAAAGGAATTAAAGAAAAATTAAAAAGGAATTAAAGACGAAGAGAAGGTAGCCGCAACTATTTTTTTTTTTATTTTAAAAAATCTATAAATTTTTGTGGATTTAAAAAATTCAAAGTCTATACTGAGTTTGATAAATTGTTAGTAATTCATTTAGATGAATTTATAAATTTGATTGAATTCATTATGAATTTATATAAAATTTGTAGGATTGTAGAATTTTTTTTTTTTTATTGATATATAATTATATAAATTTATTGAAGTTATTTATGTCAAACACAAGTTTATAAATATAATATATTTTATAATTAAGGTTATTATATATTAGTATTATATTTTATAAAATAAAATAAATATTAATAAATAATAAATAATTATTAATAATGTAGAAGTATTGTAATATATATAATACTACTATAATCTATATTACTATTTAAATTTTATAATTATAAATATTATATTATCATTCAATATATCAAATTAGTTTGTAAGGTTGAAAAGTCACATGCATAACCACATGGTCTATACACACTCTTACCTATTCCAGAAGCACCATGGATTGATATTTCAATGGATTTTGTTATGGGATTGCCTAGGTCTAGGAGATGAAATGATTCAAACTTTGTCGTGGTTGATAGATTTTAAAAAATGACACACTTCATTGCATGTAAGAAAACCAATGATGTGTCTCATGTTGCAGATCTATTATTTTATAATGTTTTGAAATTGCATGGTGTTCCTAAGACAATTGTGTCGGATAGGGATACAAAATTTCTTAGTTACTTTTAGAAGACACTTTGGGCTAAATTGGGAACTAAGTTGCTATTTTTTATATCTCATCATCCCAAACGGATGGTCAAACTGAAACAGTGAATAGAACCTTAGGGAACCTACTTCGTGTCTTGATAAAAAAAATTGCAAAAGTTGGGAAGAATGTTTGCCTCATGCTGAATTTGCATATAATCGTACATTGCATTCATCGACACACATGTCTCCTTTTGAGGTTGTTTATAGCTTTAATCCTCTAACACCTTTGGATATGTCATCATTACCTAGCAATGAGTATTTTAATAGTGATGAGAGGAAACAGGCCATTCCAAGTTGTGGAACGCATCAATGACAATGCCTATCATATTGAGCTACCGGATGAATACCAAGTTCATAGCACATTCAACGTTGTTGATTCAAGTCAATTTTGATGTAGGAGATGAATAGGCTATGAAAATGTGGGACTCAATTTTCAAGAATGGGAGGATGACAAGGTCGTTAAAAGCGACATGAACCTGCACTACCACCAGGTCCGATTACTCGAAACCGTGCCAAGAAGTTTCAAACTAATAATATGACATTAGTTCTAAACTTAGAAGAGGAGAACATGCATAAAGTTGAAGCATGAAGCCCAATGGGAAGAGTGTTGTCAATATTGGAGTGCATCCATGATTCATGCACTTCATTTCCTTGAAGACCATAATTTATAATACCCATGAGAGTTGCTACTCACATCATTACTCATGTGGGATAAAAGGTGTTTTATTTTATTTAATAAGGTAGGCCTTCAATCTAATTAATTAGACCTCTCTTATTTACTTAATTAGTGGAATATAAATAATGTATATTTTTGTCCCACATTGGTTTGTAGAGTCTTTTGCCAAGCTAACCTCCCCAATAAATAAGGCATTTGGCTTCACTTGTTAGACATCTTGAAACTTAGATCAATTAAAGTTTTTCTCTTTATTCCATTATATTGAAATCAGTGTGTGAGCGAGGGTTACCCTTGTATACACGTATCATTTTCAAAGGTCATTGGGTTGATTCATTGGGTTCGTAGCTTCCGAAACCGACCATTGGTTTAGAGGTGTTGGGTCTAGGCAACACTTGGGTTCACATCTGATCGATTGTCGAATCGGACACCGGTAATTTTTTTTTTTTACTTAGTTTTCATTTGAATTTAGTTTTAAGTTTTGGTTAGTATAATTTAGTTACTTGGGTTGCGTCAGAAATTAAAATAAAAGTTCCCTAAAATTCGTAATTACCCCTCATACGTTGCAACAATTTTTCTCTATTCGATTAAATTTGAATTTTAACATGTAAAATAAATTAATCGAATAAAATAAAATATAAAATCTGAATTATTCGCAATTGGGCTCGACCCATGAATTGAGCCCAATCTAACTCATTAATTCTTTAATCATAAATGAGACCACATTGTATTTAAAAAGGTGTCATTTCTTTTATTTTTCAATATAGATACAACCGTTCACATTCTTCTCATTCTTCCTCCTTCGCCTTCGCACACCATCGGTAAATTCTATGATAAAGATTTCAAATTTTCTTTAAAATATTATTTAATATTTTACAACTTATTGTAAAAAATAGTCTATTATTTCTATTTATATGACATATAATATATTATTTCTTTACTATAAAATAATCCCTCGGTCCAGCTGGAAAGTATACATATTTTTATTTTGGAATGTCCAATTACAAAGTAAACATTTCATTAAATACCTCACTTTTTTTCCACAAATACTCTTACTTTACGTCACATAATTACTTTTATACCAAAAAACAAGGGCAAAAATATTATTACACTACTTTTAACTATCCACTATAATTAAAATACTATTATTTTTTAAACATCGCGCCAAAAATAAATATATACTTTATCTGCGGACGGACGGGAGTATCAAATTCTAAATCTAAAATTCCAAACACATCACATGTATAGATAATACCACAACACCAAAGTAATTGGATTAAAAAAATTAGAAAAAAAAAAAAAATGCAAAAACACATTTCAATTTTTAAACCTTTTATATGTCAAAACGAACAATACTTCACATAGCAATTTTTTATCTTTTATTTTTATAATTTCTCAAAAAATCAATATTACACTTTAGTCTGCATCTTAATGGTTCTATTGCACCAACTGCTCTCTATGTGAGAGAATGAGTGGAAAATAATATTGGAAATATGATATATCATTTAAATATAATATACCATTTAAACTATATTACTAAAAGTATCGTATTTTTTATATATTGTAAATTTTGGTATAATACGACATTATGCTATTGATTTTCAATATGATAATCGTATAAAATTTTACATTCCGCAAATATATTGTTACCACATTGATTTATCATAGTATCGGCATAATATTATTTCATATATGTAATTATAAGGTATCTCTATTAAAAAAATTAATGATATTAAAATGCGAAAAAGTATAATTTATTTAATTTTTAAAAAATATTAATAATTTATTTATTTATTATTTTCAATTTAAATTAATACTTTTATTAAATTTTTTGACAGGATCCGAAATTTTTTTAATATATAATAAATTACAATTTTAAAATTATATAATTGTCTTATTTATGATTTGTGTCATTGTAGTCGGTATTCAAAATATTTTATATATATATAATATTTTTGTATAAATGTCAAAACACAAAATATAAATAAAACCTTAAACCCGGAGATAATATTATTTTTATAAATAAAATATCGTATCAAAATATTATTTAAATAAAAATAAAAATTTTATTTTAGATCAATTTCAAATCATATCCAATCAAAGACTCAACTAAAAAAAATACAAATACAAACATAAACTATTATAAATAAATAAATAAATAAAATTCGTGCAGTAGCTATATATACGTCAAACTGAACCGCCATAGCTGAGCACATCACAGCTTCTCTGCAATGGCCACGTATCTCTCTCAACGCCCAACTTCGTCTCCACCCACCACGTATTCCTCTTCCCAAATCTTCAAAATCCTCACCGCGCCTGCTCAATCGAGCCACCAATGGCCATATCTTCGCTTCTCCGCGCCCCAAACCCTAATTTCCCTCAATTTCCCCCAAATTCCATCAACTGCAGCACACGCCAGAGGTTCTCACGCCTTAATAAGCCCTATATTTGCCATAGCAGCTTCAATTCCACCAGGCTTCACTCCAAGGACGACGATTACAAGCTCACCTGGAAGGAAGAGCTGCGAGATGCGTACCCGGACGAGAATCTCGATTGCGATTCGGATGAGAAATTTCAGGAAATTGTGGACAGGCGTGGCGTGGATAATTTGAGGATGCTTATTGTTGATTCGGTGCAGAATGCGAAGGCAGGGCATCCAGGAATGGCGTTGGGAATGGCGGAGATTGGATATTTTATGTACAGGCATGTGCTGAGGCAGAATCCTGGGAATCCGTTGTGGTTTGACAGGGATAGGTTTGTTCTGAGCGCCGGCCATGGCTGCTTGCTCCAGTACGTTTGCCTTCATCTCGCTGGATTCCAATCTGTTCAGGTAACAGGGGATTTATTTATTTGTTTATTTGTTTTTAGCTTTCTGGTTCTTCGATTTTGTGGTTGATTGAGAGATTAGTGTTTTTGTGTTATTATTGTTACGTATTAATTACGGATGAGATTTTTTGGTAAGAAATTCACTCTAGATTCCAGTACTGATAAAACAGTGTTCTAGTGATTGTTTGAGGTTTGGATTTTGAATTGGAATTTGAATAATAAAAGTTTTGAATTTGTATTATTGGATGATAGTGATATAAATAGACATTTGATGTTATGTTTTGAATGTAAAATTAATTTTTTTTTTTATAATAATATAAAAATTGAAAAATAGGTATATGATATTTTTTTAGAAAAATAATGGATTTGAAAATCAAATCCCTCAAACAAACACATCCTAAAGAGAAAACAATTTATAGTCCGGCAACCAATACTGATAATGTGAAGTTGAGTCATTAATTTATTTTATTAAATTATATAATTAATCGTAATTATATATAATTATATTTACACTATCAACATGGTGTTGATTTTAGCACCCAATTATCTACCTTTAAAATTAAAATTATTATTATTATTGTCTTTAATAAAAAAGAACAACAAATATAATTTAAAGTTACAATTGAGATATTAAATTTAAAATTATTAAATATAATTTATAAATTTTAAATTAAATGGTAGAGTAAAATTAATTTGAAAGTTAAATTATAATTTCATTTTTAATATATATTATAATTAATTAAAATTTTAAAAATATAAGTTACTAAATTTAATATATTTAATAATATTAGATAATTTGATTTTTTAAATATAGTTAATATAATTCAAAAAATAAGTTATAAAAATTTAATAAAAAAATTATTTATATTGACAACACATATTTTTTTTTGTTAATTTTGATTTTTTAAAAATATTTCCAATTTTATTACATTTATTATTATTATTTTTTTATTTTTTTCAAAAATGCTTAAAATATTAAGAGATTTTCTATTTAGTGTTTTAATCTGAAATTTTTTTTATGTTAGATACAAATAATCAACAATTTTTAACTTAATTCAAACTGGCATTGAATATAATGGTTTCATGGAATTGTGCCAAATCCCCATACTTCTATGCTGTGCTTATTTGATGGTATGCTACCAAACTAAATAAATTTTAGAATTTCAATTTTTAAACCTCTAAAATTACAAATATATTCTAAAATTTATTGACTTTATCGACACATTTAGATCAAATACAGTAAAATAAGAATCGCCTAGTGGTTAGACACGTGAAACCATGAGTGAGTTTGATGCAAGTACATGGATTTTACGGAATTTCATGAAAACACATGTAAATTTCGTGCAATTTAGCCTTATATTTTTTATTGGACCTGAAGAAAAGAACCTGGTTAACATGGGAGGCAATCTATAAACGAGCCATTGGTGCTTCTCTCAGGCAGCCCATAACACAGTGGATGGCAATTGGCCAGATCTTTGTTTCCTTTATGTTCTTTAAATGTCAAGTGAAGTTTTTTCCTATTTGTCTTGTATGTTGATATTTTTTATATTTAGTTTATAGTTTAGATTAGAGTTACATTATGTAAATTAAATTGTTACTGTTAGGTTATATTCATTCGATTTTACTTAACAAAATACCACTCTGGAATGTATTCGGAGTTCTTACGATTTTGAGATGCCTGCCATTGCTCATCTATCAAATTTACTTATTGTCAATTGTTTTTTAGCTTCCATAGAGTTTATGTTCGGTCTTCAATCATTTGTCTTGGTTCCATTCAGTTCAAAGCCTTGCTTCTAGCTCTTGACTCAATAGACGGCTGCGTCATTTTTTATTTCTCGAGAACTCTAAGAGTGTGTTTGTTTGGGGGTTTGGATTTTGAGTTGAGATTTGAATAGTAAAAATTTTGAATTTGAATAATTATATGATGTGATATAAATAAGTGTTGATGTGATATTTTGAATATAAAATTAATTTTTAGTATAATATAAAAAATGAAAAATAGGTGTTTAATTTGATGTTTTTGGAGGGAAAAAAATGGGATGAATAGTAGAAATCTAATCCAATCCCCCAAACAAACACCCTAAATTTTTTTTCTGCGACACCACTTGAGTTTGAAGGATGTTAAGACATTTTAGACATTATTTTGTTATATCTATTAAATTAGATTTTCATCATTTTAGTCTATTTGTATCACGTCCACTCCTGATTGCATTAGAAATTTTACAAAAATGTAACATTCTTTATAAATTTGTGAAATCAAAAGAAGAACCGACCCTTGTATATCTATGTCTTCTTTGTAGTTCTTTATTCTGAGTAGTATGGGGTTCGATGTGGCTTTAATAATTAATTTTTGAAATTTCCTCGAGCTCAAGATTGATCTTTGCACCTCCTTTTGAAGCTTATGCTTGAACCAATCTTCAGCATGACTTTGAGCACCCACAAACTCAGAGTTAGCTAAGTGGGGAAGATAAACGTTTGAGCTTGTATATTTTGAACCATTAGCCTCTTCTACAAAAAAATAAATAATAAAAAAAATAAAAAAAATGATCCATTAATTTGTAAATACTAATTACTAATTGATTGTTTATCAATAAAACTTTTACCTTAGTTTGATAAAGTTCTTAATTGTTAGCTGATGTCCTGAATTTTACATATGACATAGATCAGGAAAGAGGATATAAAGGAGTTTTCTAATGCTTCATCCTATGTTTTTATGCACCAACTGGAACAATCATAATCTGTTTGGTCTTATGATACATATATATATTTCCAGTTTAGTTCTTTCTTGTGTATAGAGTATGATTCACGAGCACTGGTCACCACAAGTTTAGGGTGTGTTAGTTTTTTGGTTTGGATTTTTTAATAGTAAAAAGTTGAATTTGAATAGTTGTTTGATGTGATATAAATAGAGGTTTGATGTGATTTTTGAATGTAAAATAAATTTGTAGTATAATATAAACAAAAATAATTGTTTGATGTGATTTTTGAATGTAAAATAAATTTGTAGTATAATATAAAAAAAAATAATTGTTTGATGTGATATTTCTGGAGAAAAAAAAAATCTAAAAACATGTGGTAAAACCCACGAAAGAACACAACCTTGGTTACTTTAACACGTGCTTTATTTCCTGAACATGTCTGTGAACCAAATCCTTTGATCTGATCAGATTGAAGACCTCCAGCGATTATGTAAACTCGGTAGTAGGACTCCGGGGCATCCAGAGAATATAATAACAGACGGCATTGAAGTTACAACAGGTGCTGATCTAGAGTGAGCTGCTCTTTTTATATATCAATTTGTTCTATTGAGGTGCACATTTGAATGAATAGTTAGCTACTTTCGTCGATAATGTTTTTAATTGGAAGGATGGCTTCGAAATCGGTAGGGAAATACTAACATATATGAAACTTCATTGATGTCCTTGTAGTGTTAAGTTTTTCCTCCTTGGAGAGTTGCTTTGACGAGTTGAATAGAGCGAAAGGACAAGACTCATTTTAGCTTAACTTTAAGAAATGGATTTTCATTACAGAATTTCGATGATTACGATATATAACTCCTAGGGGAAGATATTGAAATGCTTTGTAGAAGTTACTATCGTAGTTCAGTCATTTGTATTAACACACTGTTTAAACTCTTTCGACTTATGGTTAAAATTAGTATAATAGATTGTTACAAAGCATATAAATAAGTGATTCCATGACTAAATTTGTTAAAGACAACAAACATGCTTAACCTTATTTATACCAAAAAATAATTTATTGAAGACATGAGGAGACATGTTTAGAGTTTGGGAAAAAATCAATTTTGGTCCCAATATAATAAAAATTTATCAATTTTGGTCCAAATATAAAAGCTCATCAATTCTAGTCTAATTATAAACAAATTCAATCAATTTTTGTCCCATTTAAACAATTTCAATCAATTTTGGTCACACAGTTAAAAAAAACTAACGAAAATTGTTGATGTGGACATAATGGAGGTGACGTGGCAGCCGACATGGAAACTACACGGCCATGTACAATTATACACAGTCACGTATATTTCAGTGTATAATTATACATAACCATGTTGTTACGTGTATAATTTTACACGGCCTTGTACATTTTCGTTTTAGTCTAAAATTTTATTTTATTTTTATATTTTTTTAAAAAAATTATTTTGAATTTAAAATAGTTGATATAGTTAAAATAGACAAAATCAATAGTAATTATAATATAATTAAAATTTATAAGATATATTCTTTTGAAAAGTTTTGTCTAGAATTCTATTATTCATGTATAATTATACACTGAAATATATATGGTCATGTACCAACATGACCGTATAACAACATGAGCATGTAACGTTATATACTGAAATATACATGACAATGTAACAACATGACCGTGTAGTTTCCAAGTCAGCTGTCACGTCAATTCCGTTATGTCCACGTCAGCAATTTTCGTTAGTTTTTTAACGGTGAGATCAAAATTAATTGAATTTGTTTATAATGGGATCAAAATTGATGAGTTTTTTATATTAGGACAAAAATTAATAAATTTTGGTTATATTGAGACTAAAATTATTTTATTGTGATGGTTTGAATGAGATTATTTTTAAGGTAGTATTTTAAATGAAAAATAAGTGATAGATTCGATAATTTTGAGAAGCAAAATGTGATGAATAATTCGAGACTCTGTAGAAAACTATATCAAAAAAGAACCTTATGCTGTGTTCTTTTGTGGATCTCTCACATTTTATTATTCTCATTTTTTTTTTTCCAAAAAATCTAATCAAACAACTTGTTTTTACTGTTAAAAAATCCAAATTAAAAATCCAAATCCGCAAATAATATCTCAGCTATTCATTATTTTTATGGTTATTGATTAGGACCTCTCGGTCAAGGTGTAGCCAATGCAGTTGGCCTTGCAATAGCTGAAGCTCACTTAGCTGCTAGATTCAACAAACCCGATGTTGCTGTTGTAGATCATCGGACGTAAGCATGAAAACATAAAATCTTTGTGTCGAATTAATCGTTGCAACAAGTGTGTTCGTAACAACCGGTTTGACACAGATATTGCATTATGGGTGATGGCTGTGCTATGGAAGGCATATCAAATGAAGCAGCATCCTTGGCAGCACATTTGAAGCTCAATAAGCTCACATTAATTTACGATGACAATCATAACACTATAGATGGTTCCACGGATCTTGCATTTACCGAGGATATCACGCTGCGGTTTCAGGGGTTGGGTTGGAATACAATAACCTTGGATAATACTCACGGTTGCATAGCATCGTTTCGAAATGCACTCTTCGAAGCTTACAAAGAGACAGAAAGGCCAACATTTATCCGGGTGACACTCTTTTAACTCTTTTGATTGTGGGTTTGGGTTTTTGAATAGTAAATAGTTGAATTTGAATAGTTGTTTGATGTAATATAAACAGATGATGATGTGATGTTTTGAATGTAAACTAGATTTGTAGTATAATATGAAAAGAGAGAAGTCATTATTTGATTTTATATTTTTGTAGAAAAAAAAGAGTCATTTGTAGTAAAATTCACAAAAGAAAAAACTAAGTTTTTAGTTAGTAGCTTGTTTTTAAGATCTTCGACTTCACTTTAGACGTAAGTATTAAAAAGTTTTGGACAAAAGATTTGTGGGTTTGATTATGACTAGTCTTGGAGGCCACCATTTCTTCCAACTCGGATTCTTTGAATTTCAGGTGAAGACACGAATAGGAGCATTGTCGAAGAAAGAAGGAACATCGAAGGCTCATCATGGAATCTTCGATGAAGATGATGAGAGGCAAATGAAGCAAAAGGTTAAGTGGGATGGTCGACAGCCATTTTATGTCATTCCTATGGTTCGCCGGTACCGCATCACTCCATAGATATTATCACTCCTATCGAAATATATGAAGACACTAAAACTTAGCACCATTGTTGCAGTGAAATGCAAGTTCAAGCTGAATACGGCGAAGAATTAGATAGAAATTGGCAAGCCAAATTGTCTTATTATGAAAGAAAGTATCCACAAGAAGCAATCGAATTCAAATCTCTCCTTCATGATGGACTGCCTCCAGGCTGGGAAAGCTCATTACCGGTAATTCATACTATGCTCATTTTATTATTTTAATCTGTCTACCAAAAGTGTGCCAAGTAAAAAAGTAGCATATTTCTTTAAAATTTTACCCATTATTTTTTTCATCTATTTACCCGTTGCCACTGATGGACCCACACATTTCTTATACCAATTCTATTTTAATGCAAAACTTACATTACTAATCCTTTAAAAGTTTCAATTCTATCTTTATAAAAAGTACAAAATAATACAACCTCCATCATCAAAATGTATTATGATTCTCTTTAGAAAGAGAATGATAAGATATTTTGATGACAGGGTAATATGAAAATACTCTCTAAAACTTATATTACTAATCCTTTAAAAGTTTCAATTCTATCTTTATAAAAAATACAAAAATAATACTACCTCCGTCATCAAAATGTATTTTGATTCTCTTTAGAAAAACAATGAGAATATATTTTGACGACAGAGTAATATGAAAATACTCTCTAAAATGTGGTTATTTTTTCATTTTCGTCTTTCATTTAAAAATATGTCCATTTTGTTTTTTAGTAAAAACTTGTACTATATATATATATATTTTTATTATAAAAGATAAAAATAACAAAGAGTACATAACACACTAAAATTCATGCCAAAAGCATTTGAGCCTAATTTTTTTGTATGACGAATAGAGTACTATTTTTCTTAAATCTCCGTGCCAAAAAGTTTTGAATATATTATTACAATGTCTTGAGTTTAATGATTAAGTTGTTTCATTGTTCAGCTATGGTCGACGTCCGATCCTCTAGATGCCACTCGAGGGTACTCCGAGAAGTGCTTAAATAATCTCGCGAAGGTGCTCCCCGGCCTTATTGGCGGAAGTGCAGATCTTGCTTCCTCCAACAAAGCATACTTGCACGGGTATGGCGATTTTCAGCAGCCCGAATCCTCGCAGGGCCGGAACATTCGGTATGGTGTTCGGGAGCATGCTATGGCCGGAATTTCAAATGGCATAGCCTTGCACGGCGGTGGTTTGATTCCCTTTGCAGCAACCTTTCTAATCTTCTCTGACTATATGAAGAATTCCATTAGACTATCTGCTCTAAGCCGTGCAGGAGTCATTTATATTATGACGCATGACTCGATTGGTTTAGGAGAAGATGGACCTACTCATCAGCCCGTCGAGCAGCTCGTCGGGCTCCGAGCAATCCCCCGTCTCTTGGTTTTCCGCCCTGCAGATGGTAATGAAACTTCAGGTATGTCATATGTGTGTTGACTAATTTAAGCTTTAACATAAATTGAAATTTGGTATTTCATTTTTGCTAGGTTCCTCTATATGCAATGCTCATTTGTTTAATTTAATTGAATCAACTTGATAGCAATTCAATCAAATGATTTAAAGCAGTGTAGCAATTTAGTGACTGAATGCAGGTCAAAAGCCATAAAATATTTTTTCATGGAATTGATTTGATGGTACACTGAAGCAGAAGTTGTGTTTGAATGAAAAATTAGGGCTCTATTTACATAGAAGTTTTTGAGTTTTGGAAATAGTAAATAATTGAGTGTGAGATGGAAACGGTATTAGACGAATAGTTCCAAAAGTTAAGTTAGAATTTGGATGTTCAATTTTACATGGAAAATAGATGTTGTGAATAGAATATAGGTTTTAAGGGCGGAAAAACAAAAAAATAAAATAAAAGTTGGATGTGATGTTTATGGAATAGGAGTTATGTGAATGAAAAATAAATTTTGGATCGTAGATGAAATAAATATTCTTTTTATAGAAGTAATTATTTTATTTTCTCAAATGTATGCCAAGAAATGCTCAACAACTTGAGTTACAACTCTTCGGCAATAATTGTTGGAAGCAAAGGGTTGTGTTCTTGTTAATATTTAAGAATTTTCGGGAGTTTTGTCATTAATTATTGAAAATTGTGAAAGTATTATTAAAATATTTATTTTTATTGTTTTTAGATATTATGTGAGAAATGATAATGTATTTTTAGTTTTACAATACTGAAAATGATAAAAATTTAAAGCAAATACACCAAAAGTTAAGATAGACCATTTGATTTTTGAATTACAAATAATTAGATATGGTCATTTTTAGTTGTGCTACCCGACTTTTCGAATTTGATTTATGTTCCAACTTTAGGAGCTTACAAAGTAGCCGTTGCCAACCGGGATGTCCCGAGTTTGATTGCCCTCTCGCGGCAAAAAGTGGCGGCTCATGTCGAGGGCACGTCCGTGGATCTAGTGGAAAAGGGCGGCTATGTTGTGAGTGATAACTCCGGGCAAAATTTACCCGAAATAATATTGATCGGGACCGGATCCGAGCTAAGCCTATGCGAGGCAAGTGCATGCACTTTAAGGGGAGAAGGGAGAAGAGTGAGGGTAGTTTCACTTGTGTGTTGGAGGCTTTTTGATCAGCAACCGGTGTCGTACAAAGAGCACGTCTTGCCTCCCGGCGTCTCAAAACGTGTAAGCATCGAAGCTGGCTCTCCCGTTGGGTGGAGGGAGTATGTCGGCCCTAAAGGCGTCGTTCTTGGAGTGGAAGAATTCGGGGCGAGTGGAGCGTATTTGGATACCTTTAAGAAATATGGTTTTACCGAAGAGAACCTCACCGCGGTCGCGAAGGAAATCCTCGCCTCGTGACGAAAGGTACGTCGATTTTTCGAATGGTTAAAATGGAAGAAGTTAAGAGTGCTAATTGAGACAGATCAGTGTAAGAAAGATGAAAGGTATGTCTACTCTTTTAATACTTCAAATAGTAGCTAATTAAAGTTTCGTTTTGGTACCGTATATTGCATTATTTATACCATATATTGTCGTAATATGTATTGTATATTGGTATTATTGGATATTGTTAGACATGTGCTTCTTTTTTATTTTTATTTATTTTTTATTTTTTATTTTTATTAAATGTGCACCGACCGTATTTGCAAATTGGTTGATATGATCAAAGCTAAAATTACAATTGATGCGGTCAACACACATGAAAGAATCCATCATTGGAGGATTTTTTAGGAACAATGAATCTCATATAATATTATTTAGGAACAAATTTATTTAAAGAACGAAATGTTAATATATATATAGCTTTTTTTTATTATGTTTATTGGATCAAACTAAGTATAATTAGTAAATATTTATAAAAATATTATATATTAATATAATATATATTAAATATTTTAATAATAAATTATATAATTATATATTCAAAATTATAAATTTAACTTTAGCAACAAGATATTTTGACTCAAATCAGTAAGTATTTATAAAAATATTAACATATATTAATATAATTTATAACAATATTTCAATAGAAAATTATATAATTATGTAATAAAATATAATTTTGATTTCAATATAATTTAATACCATAGTACACAATAAGTAAATTATATAACACAATAGAACAATATATAACTCACACAATAAATATTAATACAATGTATAGTGTAATATACTCTCCCGTGGGCTAAAAATACTTTGTTTGTGTTAATCATTCAATATTAATTATGCAATATAAGAATAATTTTAATGTTAAATACAATTATGCAAAAAATAAATATAATCCTTAAAAGCGAATAAATGTACTATTTTATAATTATATGTGATATAATATATATTGATTTTAACACAAAATATGATCCACACAATACATTTTTATTTAACACAACATATACTATTTATTTTTAATGATTTGCTAATTACTTCAAGTTAATTGGTGCAAAGTTATTATAAGTACCTTCTTATTTCTAGGGATTAAAGCTCCTATAAATTATTTAAAAAAAAATAATACAAAATAAAATATTTAATGTAACGTTTTATACGAAAATAAATATTTAATATAATACTCTCTTTCATTCAAAATTAATATATTCATTTTATCTTTGTCAAAATTAAATTATCCAAACTTTTTAATAATCGTGGCCCTATAGAATAAGAAAAAAACCCCTTACATTTTTTATTATTCTTAGAACAGTATTATCACTTATTTTAACTCCATTAATAATAGAATTGTCCTTTCCTTGATTTATTATACTACAAGTGGAAAAAAAAAAACATTAAATTCATTTTTAAAAAAATATTACAGATGAATAATACTGAAAACTAAAAAAAAAATACATGTAAACAGAACCTGAATTTCCTGAGCTTCCTCCTCTTCAAGAACATCACCAATGCTATACATACCTACAACCTGCATATATACACACATATATATATATATAAGTGTGTTTGTTTGAGAGTTTGGATTGTGGATTGAGAATTGAATAGTAAAAATTTTGAATGTGAATAGTTGTACGATGTAATATAAATAGGCATCGATGCGATGATTTGAATGTAAAATTAATTTTTAATATAATATAAAAAATGAAAAATAGGTGATACGATGTTTTTGGATAAAAAAATTGAATGACCAGTAAAGTCTGGGGAAAATTCCCCAAACAAAATGAAAAGAAAAGAGATCATCCCCACACCAAATCCAACGATCCAAATTCCAAAAAAAAAAAAAAAAAAGAATCAATTTTCCGCACACATGCTCAAAAAATGGAAGAAGTTCATTCGAAGGATGCAATGCACAAATGGAAAAAAAGCATCAAGATACCTGGATAAAGTCTCATAAGCATTAATGCTACTGTGTGTGCATCAACTGGATTCTTTCCAGTGCCTCGAGAACTTCTTGAGCCGACGGCCTATTCTTGGGATCAGGCTCGAGACAAGTCTTGGCAAGTCGAGCAACTTCAAATGCACTTTTGGCTGGATACTTTCCCTCCAACCGATGATCCATGCAACGCATCAGTTTTTTCCTGTGGATTAGAAGTGGCACCATCCATTCGACTAGATTTTGCTGCCCTTGGGGACGATTTAGATCAATAGTTCGTAAACCAGTTAGAATCTCTAACAACACCACTCCGAAACCATATATATCACTCTTCACGCGCAAGTGACCTGCCAGTAGAGTAGAACAAACAATGTAATAAACGAGTATGTTTAGTGTTCTAGAGATACGATTCTTAAAAAATATTACGTAAAAAAAATACATATAAACTATAGCCCGCATCTTTATTATGAATACAATACAATTTTTTAATCATCTGAAAAAATTTCTTCTCACGCAAACAATAATTAAGATTAGATGTGTTAAGGAACTTCTTTGTTGAACTCCATTCATTTGCATTGCACAGACTAAGCATCAATGTTAGATGTAATATTTTTTTGGAGATAAATTTATTTTCAGTCCCATTTATAGTATCCATTATCATTTTGGTCGTCTAAATGAAATATGTATAGAAATAATAGAATGTGGTACATAAATATTATCATCTATCACCAAATATAGACGTAAATTTACATTTTTAAATAAATATATAAATAAATATACAAAACTAGATTTACGTTAATACTCCTCCGTCCGCACTCTAGGTACATTTTTGTCCGTTACATTCAAAATTATTAATTTTCAATTATAATAAAAGTAATCCTATATAAATATTAAAATACTCATAACTTTTATAAAAATATTCATTTTTTTTTTGTATTCTTAAAGGCAAAAATGTCCAAATCAACCGTACATATTTCACTAATAAAATACTATTACTTTCTGATTCACTAAAGAAAAACAAATGAATACTTTCCATTGGACCGAGAGAGAATTTGGTGTTATAAATTGACAAGCTACTAGTACATGTTAACTCTGCAATGTTAGAACACATAATAATATTATTGGATATGTCATATCAGTACACATGGCAATATTTCAGTACCATACGCGACTATAGATTAAATATAAGACTATTTCTATATATATATATGCTTTACCTAGATAAACCAAAATAATAATATGTGCAATGAAATAAACTAAAATAATAAGACTATTTCTATATATCCCATCGGTGTGTTCTTTTATCAAATTTCTCAATATTTTTATTATACTAAAATTCAGTTTTACATTCAAAATATTACATAACATCTATTTATATCACATCATACCACTATTCAAATTCAAGATTTTTACTATTTAAATCCCAACAAAAAAAATCCAAACCCGCAAACAACCACACCTTCGAAAAAAACATTTTAAAATCAACAAATATACAAACTAAAAACACACCAAAAACACATATGATCACTCCTAGAGTAGAAAGCTAATAGATCATAAGATTAATTACCCGTTGCAATGTACTCTGGAGCAGCATAACCATATGTCCCTATAACTTGGGTGGAGACATGGCTGTTTATAGCATTAGGTGCCCATTTTGCCAGGCCAAAGTCAGAGAGCTTAGCATTATATGACTGCATCCATTCAAAATCCGAACAGAAAAAAAACAAAAATGCACAAGATAAGCAAATCATGAGCAAAGCACAATATATCTTAGATGAGCAAAAACTTATGTTTACCTCATCAAGCAAAATGTTTGAGGGCTTGAAATCCCTATAGATAACTCCTGTCTCTAAAGAATGTAAGTATGCTAGGCCATTAGCTGCCCCGATCAAGATCTTGAGTCGGACATCCCAGGGAAGTGGCGTAGCACGCCCTATATATACAAGCCCAACATTATCAGCTAACGAGTTGCTGGTTACGAAGAAGTACATTCATAATATTAGCATAAAGTGGAATACATTTCCTTACTTGGAAAAAGAATGTTATCTAGGCTTCCATTCGACAAGTATTCGTAGATGAGCAATTGGTATTTACCCTCCAAACAATAGCCTAGTAGCTTAACCACATTTGGATGAGATATGCTTCCCAGGAACCTTACTTCAGACTACAAATTTTACATTAGGGACAGTTACAAATTTGGGGAAACGATTGAAGTGACAAAGAAGTATAGCAGAAGCCCGAATTTATCAATTCTTAACAAGCTAGGCAACCATTACGATTACCAATAAAATACACTATTTTCTCTTTCAAAACATCGCATTCAAACTACTATTCAAACAAAAATCAAAGCTAAAAAAATAAAATAAAATTTCAAAAGAACACACTGTTTCTGATACTTCAAAAAACAACTACACAACATTCATTAATTGATAATTAATCATCAGAGGCTGTTAAAATACTAAGTTAATTGATTATGTTTCTAGAACAGATAGAAGCATATTCTAAAATAATATATATATTTTACAATTTTAATAATTTCATATCCAACTTAATAATAATTTCATGTTTTTAGTACAAATAGAACACATTTCGATAACATATATCAAAATTTTAATAACCATGCCTATTTTATTTAATTACTTATTTTAAATAAGATATCATTGCTAATAAGCTCTTGATTATTTAGGACATCTTTATTGTGTTCCGAGTTTTGAAACTTTTGCCATTAAAAAAAGGTATTAGATCCAAGAATAGGAAACAGATGGACGTCATATTTTTTTGAAAGAAAAACGGAAATGTACTATAGATTGAATAGTGCTAAAATAAGAAGGCAAACACAAGAATCACAACCTTAATCATTATGTGTTAGTCAATACATAGTAAAACATGATCTTGGTTGTTGCATAACTACATCAATCATGTTTGTTTTGTGTTTCAAACACAAATCAACACTATTGAGCCTGTACGGTTTCTGATAAAAAGACACTATTTATTTTCATAAAATATCATATCAAAATACTATTTAAACCAAAACTCAAATCAATGCAGCAATTTAAATATAAAAAGGTAAAAGCTTACCAGCCACTCTTTCATACCCTGCATGCCTGTAGGATTCACCTTTTTAATAGCTACGGCTGCGGCAGAATCAGTTCCATAATCTTTGAGCAAACCTCTATAAACTTTTCCATAACCTCCTTCACCGAGTATTGTATCTGGGTGGAAATTTCTTGTGATATCCCTCAATTGTGCATAGGAGAAAGCTCTTAAGTTGGGACTTTGAGAAAACTTGACAGCTTTTCGACCCTCAGAAGAAGTTTCAAGTCTAGGCTTCATGTTCACCACCGGTGCTGCAAAATTCATATCAACAATTTTCAGGACATATGTAATAAAATAAACGTTAACCAAGTTTTATCAATGAGCAGATATTCAGCTGATATATCCTTTGGCAGTTCTTTGTTTTTTTAATGATTACCAATGCTTAAGATGTGTATGAGTATATTGAACTTAGAACTTGTAAACCGTACACCTATCAAAGCCAAAGCCAAATAAATACCTGACACCGAGCTCATTTCAACGGCAAGTTTCTTGTATTGGTTTCCACTCTTCTGAATTGCATCCCGTGGCCAAAGTCTTGATAGCTTGCGCATCGTAGTTTTTACCACATTTTTCAAGGGAGACGAGGCGTTTTTCATGTTAGAGGAGGTCAGTTTTTGTTGTGTTGTTCTTTTCTCTCGTGTTATTAGTCTGGTTAGAAAGGATGGTGCTTTTTCCTTTTCCAAAATGACGGTAAACTTTGCAGCATCCTCACCATGTTCTAATTCTTCTGGTAATGAAGGTCTCTCATTCACCTCTTCAGGAAAGACAGAGATGTTTTCTATCTCATTCGAGGATGAAGATTTCACAATTGGGAGGACATCAGCCACCACAGCTACTTTATTTGGTTCTGAAGAATTTGCATTTTCGTGTAGCTCAAGCGCAAACTCAAGGTTTATCACAACATGCGCTATTGCTGGCCTTTTCTTAGGTTCATCCTGCAAGCATCTCTCCACAATCCTCAGAAATGCCTTCAAACTAGCTGAAGAGATTTCATCCCTCAGATTTGGATCTATAATCTGATCAATATCTCCCTTTTCAATTTTATCCCGAGCCCACATAGTTAGACTTCGCTCTTCCACCTCTGCCGATGGCTGCAGTGCTGGTCTCCCACACAACACTTCTAACAACATCACACCAAAGGAATATGTGTCACTTTTCATCGTTAATCTACGAGTTCTGAAATAATCCGGATCAAAGTATCCAAATGTGCCTTTAAAATTTGTGCTACCGTTGCTTTGTCCAGTACGAATTTTTGCTAAGCCGAAATCTGAAACCTTAGGCACAAACTTTTCATCGAGCAATATGTTCGAAGATTTAATATCACGATGTATAATCCCATGGCCCGTGTGAAGATAGTCCAATCCTCGACCAGCTCCAATACAGATTTCAAGCCGTTGCTTCCATGACAGAGAAGTGGCAATGTTTTTCCTAGCAAGTTTGTAGAGATGATCAGCTAATGATCCACAGGGAATATACTCATAAACAAGAATCATCTCTCGATCCTCACTGCAATAACCAACCAGAGAGACTACATTAACATGGCGGAGCTCAGAAAGCAATTCAATCTCCGTCTGAAACTCCTGCTTCCCTTGCTTGGAGCTTGATTTTAATCGTTTTATAGCCACAGCCAGTTTTCCATTATCTATATTTCCCTTGTAGACTTTACCAAATCCTCCCTTTCCAATGACAAATCCATCGAAAAAATTATCTGTGGCAGTTTTCATCACAGCAAGTGAAAATCGAAGACAGAGTCTTTCAGATCTTGTCAATGGCTTGTCTTCCTCCTCAGGCAAGCTAACTCCCCTACTCTGCTGCACCTTATGCACAAAAATGCTCACCAAACAAGTTAGAACGACAACAACAGCTAAAATTGAATTCATGGGACCGAGAGTGGCTAACAAATTTCGAGAAGTGATGGGAATTGAATCTGCTGTAAGAGGCAAAGGATTCGGACTCGCAAGACTGTTGTCATGGTTACTTAACTTGAAGATTTCAAATCCTTCGAGCGGACCTCCAATTCCATCCACGGCTTCATCTCTCGAGTGCAAGGAAATCAAGATAGCACGTCTACCTTCTAGCTTGTTTCCATTCACCATAACCATACAATTCTTATACCACAAGACACCTTTCCCTTCCCTTTCTTGTACCAAATCAGCATTTGTGACAGCAATCATGCCATTGATAAGAATCATAAAATCCTTGGTTCCATTTTCCGCCATTTTCAGCGCCAGCTGATCGAAATGAAGCCGAATCATATACCTAAATCCAACATCCACAGATACATTCCATGTTCTATAGCTAACCTTGTTCGATGGCCACATCCTAAACATGCCAAAAGAATCATCATCTACCATGGAAGATGCAAAATCCCTTTTCACGTTCACTCTATGAGCCATTTCAAGAGCAGTTGAGCTATCAACATAAATCACAGATTTCTGCCCCACAACTTCGACCCCAACATCTTCATCATGGCAGTAAGAAAGACCAGAAGGCACAGAGATAATCTCAATCCCATTAATGAAAGCGTAAAACTCTTTCGACGGATTTTCAGCCATTGCAGGGGTGAAAACAAGGCTGAAAGGTATATTCTCTTTTACATTTACACAGAATTCCTTAGTAACAACATTCAGACCAAGAGAACGAGCAGTAATCGAAGCACTGAAATTACTAAGCAGCGTAAACGGACCTGCCTCGACGCTGAAACAATCCACCAATTTATTGAAAATTCCAGAGCTGAATTTGTACGGTGTAGGGTTAAAATGAAGACGAACATACTTCTGACCTGAATTGAGCCTAAAATTGTACGAAAATTGGGAAGTGGAAATCCTCGCCGAACTGTACGGTACTGGATCGATCGGCTGCACGCTCCTCGCAGACGTTCGGTACGAATTCCCCTTGAGTGTCACCGGAGACGATGAGAATGACGAGTAAACGTCGCCGAGCCATTCTCTGCGAGTGAGCGACGCCGACGGTGATGCCGAACCGCAGTTGATCGAAATGCGATCGTCGGAACCGCTACCAGAAACGTCGGCGAGGTTGAGGAGGAGGAGGACGATGAGGATTGAGGGTAGAGGTTGTGAGGAGCTAGTCGCCATGGCGATGGTGCTGCCATTGGAGGATCCGTCTTCGTACGCAGAGGCAACGTAATGTAATGTAATGTGTATGGAAGGAAGAGTGACTACGCCACAAGTCAACGTCAGTAATATTGCAGTGTTTAGTTTGAACACGTAGTTCATTAATTGTATAGTTGACTAAGTCAACCTCCAGACCACGCGTTTTGTGGGCATCCCCGTTTTAAAAACTTCATATTTGTTCTCTTAATCTAAAAATTGCGTAATTTTTTTAATTATTATTTTAAAAATACTGCAAAAGTTTTTTAATATTTTTTTTAAAATGTCTAAACTTGTTTATGTAGTTGTATAAATAGGTATTGATAGGATGTTTTGAATATAAAATTAGTTTTTAATATAATATAAAAAATAAAAAATAAGTATTATAATTTGATATTTTGGAGAAAAAAATTGAATAAATAATAAAATTTAGGAAATATCCCCAAACAAACACACCCTAAGCTCGTTTATGACATATTGAAAGCTGTGCAAATTTAAAATAGAGATCTCTAATGAATAATTTTTGTAAAAAAAAAAAAATTAAAATTTTTATGAGTCATTATATTTTTTTATAGGTGTATCATATATGTGTAATGCCATGTCGACTTGATTTGAAACTATTTGATAATTTTTATAAAATTAAAAGTATTTTATTAAAATACTACCATATATCATTTATCAAGGGTGTGTTCCGTTCGGTTGAGAGATTTGGACAAAATCTCACTATTCATCCAAAATTTTTCCCCCAAAAACATCAAATCAAACACCTATTTTTTATTTTTTATATTATACTAAAAATCAATTTTACATTCAAAACATCACATCATCACCTATTTATATCACATCATACAACTATTTAAATTCAAAATTTTTACTATTCAAATCTCAACTCAAAATCCAAACCCCCAAACAAACACACCCCAAATTTATTAGTATAACATTTCAAGTTTCTTCCATTTACCATTCACAAAATTCATCAAAATAGTATTTTAAGTTCCCCTATCTACCATTCACGAAATTCATAAAAATAATACTTCAAGTTCATAAAAAAGAAAATCAAAATAAAAAAGTCAAAAACTAATTGAAAAAAAATAAAAATGTTATCAAGTTTATCAAAATGATTTTACAACTTGAAAAACATTCGTCACCTTTACAAAACAAACTTTTTTTCATCGTATTAAAATAAAATTAAATTAGAATCTGAATTTATAAAAATATTAATATATGCAATCACTTAGATTAATTTTAAAATTTATAGAACTTACATGTTTCATATTTCATAATTCTATAAAGTTGACTTTGCATGCTTTCACCGGCTATTAATTTTGCAAATTGACATAAAACGGTTATTCTTCCTCCTAATAAAATAAAAATATATTATAATACAATTTTTTATAAATATGAATATATGCGATCATATATATCAATTAAAAAAAAATAGAACTTACGTGTGTCATAATTGATTTTTTTATTCCATGAAGTTGGCGAACCCAATATGCTCCATAAATCAATACTTCAATCATATCTGAAGATAATTTTGAACGATAATGATCTTGCACTCGAGTTCCTGCACTGAATGTAGCGTTTGATGCTACCGTACTAATAGGAATAACTAACACATCACGAGCCAACTAAGATAAAATCTTGAATTTTAATTATTGAGATTTCCACCAAGTTAAAACATCAAAATCAGTAGCTACAATAGCATCTCCATCTTAACATTTATAAACTTCATCCTCCAAGTAGATATCCAAATCTGATTAAAAGGTCCATCAATCTCAACAACATTCAAATAATTATCAAACATAGATAAACAAGATAGAATCAACTTTCCATGAGATGTAGATTTTATATCAGTTTAAATCTTTATGCAGTGATATCCTTTTGAGATTTCGCATGATCAACTTCAATATACTCAAAATACAAGTTATATAATGCATCACGAACCTTCGTCACATTAGTACGTGCATCATTCTCATATTATATTCTCCTGAAAGCAAACTAAACTAACCTCATTGTGAATTTAGGATCAAGTATCGCTTCAATAGTCATTAAAAGTTAGGAACATCTCCAATATTTGTCAAACTTTTGCTTCATCTTATGAATTATTACTCTAATGAACACGTCAATGTAATTTTTCTTATCATTCAAGATATATTTCACTCTCTAAATAACAACAAGATAAACATTTAAAATATGATAATCAACCCCAGAAATCACATGAATAGCTCCATAGAAAATCTCTGATATGTCAATAACATCATTCACCTTATTTCAACCATCAAGGTTGGGACAAAAAGTGTACGAGGACTCTCTTTGTTAAAATATAGGGAATGCATCCTTAACTCTAAATGCCTCAACTAACATCTCATATGTAGAATTCCAACGAGTTAGACAATCAATTATCAATCTTTTAACCGATATTCCCAAATGATGCACGATATTAGAAAATTTTCTCAACCTAAACTCCGATTGACATATAAATCACACACTATTTCTGACAACTTCAATGATATGTTTAATCTCAGAAAGACCATCTTGAACAACAAGATTCTGTGCAATGCATTGAACATGAAACAATTGACCTTCCAACGACAACTTACGACTTTTTAAAAATGTTTCTTTAGCAATTTGAATTGTCACATCGTCATTGGAAGCATTGTCGACAGAGATAGTGAAGACATTATGATTCTATTCTCTATTCATTCGTACTCTTTATAAGTTCATCATAGATATCAACACCTAAGAAATATCAATCATATAATTATTGTTAGCAAATATGATATATATATATATTAAAGTAAATTATTATACTAATAAGTCACTTTTAAGTTGCCAATGTGAATCAACAAAGTGGCCTGTAGAAATCTTTTGTACTTTTAACTTCCAAATGTCTATAGTTAAGGAAATTTTATTGACATTTTTTAACATCAAATACAACTTTTTTTTTCTCTATTTTATAAACATTAAAAACATTTTTTTTTTTTTTTTTTTTTTTTTGCCATAGCACAAGAAATCTTATGAAATTGTGGTTGGTTTACACTTAGCATATAAGTAAACCATAGTTCTCCACAATGTTAAATGGCTGTTCATTCATCAAAATTCTATGGGCAACGACTTCTTTTTGCTTCAAATGATCATACCTACCACATGATAAATGATTCATCTCAATTTTGGATTGGACGGATTGAAGTTGCAAAATCTTTTGTTTTTCATTATAAAGCTTTTTTTGCAAGCACCTCCTCAGGTGATTCCAAAGATGAGACATTATATCCGATGCTGATTTAGCTAGCTAAGTCTTGCAATGTATACACTGAAATTTTGTACTTCCATCCTTCAAAGCTACTTCAATAAAATCTTTATAAGCTTTTAAACATCTTTTTCTAATTTTTTTGGAAATGACATTTCTTTTCTTCGCCACCGTCTTCTTTATCATTTTTTCGATGATCTTCCTTTTTATTATCCTTCTCTTCATCAGTATTTATATTCTCCACACGTTTGGCTCCGTCGCTCTCATTTAATGAAATATCACATTCACAAAGACCATTCATCTCATCTCGAATACTATTTTCTTAAATGACTGATTCTATTATATTTGAATTATCCATAATCCTGTAATATAAACTTAAATGCTTAAATAATATAAATTCTGTTGTAAAAATAGAAAAATATATAAATAAGTAAAAAAAAACTACAAAATAACATAATTTAAAAAAATAGAAAAATACCAACCTAAAAACCAAAATGACGGGAAACTGCTGATGCTGATGAACTATTGGAAAACAGAACAATTTGGTTTAATAATCTGTTGCAAAAATATAAATAAAAATACACATTAATATAAAAAAAAATTGCAGAATAATAAAATTATAAATATAAAATTTTTTAAAAAAGATAACTAACAGCCTAAAAACCAATATAATGGAAAAATAGGATTTATAACCTATCTAAAATAGAACGTTATACTCTGAAAAAAAATAAAGAAAAAAATACAGATTTATAATAAAAAAATCTAGAAAATAGAAAATAAACACTACCAAATCATAAAAAATAAAATATAAAAAAAAATAGAAATAATGATCTTACTAGTCTCCAAGACGAAGGAAATATGTTAATAAAATAATCTATCGTGCAAAAATAAAAAACAATTAGTGGCAATATGGATAACATTAAAAAACAACAAAATCAAACTAAAAATAATAAAGTAAATAAGAAATGGGAAAAACAAATATTGGAGCAAAAAATATATCAACCACGAACAATCAAAGAGAATGTAAAAAAGTAAAGTGAAAGAATATAGAAACGGCGGATAATATGAAACGGCTAATATGAGATGTTTAAAATTGACAAATTAAGATTTTGTTTGATAGTTTCTACGTAAAATTGGTTTAGCGCATTAACTTACAAATTTACGATTACGATAATTTATTATTTTTAAAACTTATATTATATAGTATTTATTTGTGTAGAATTTAAATTTTAATATTAAATATATTGAATTGAATATATTACTTTACAATTTATATGGAATTATTTTGTTAATATATTATTTTTATAATTTTATTTTTATTCATATTAGTTATACGTTTTTTAAAAAATAATATTATAAATAATGTTATTTTAATTTAATTAATCAAAAATAATAATAGTAATATATATAATATATAATTGAAAATATATACTATGATATACATAATTGAAAATATATATTATATATTATCAAATCGAATATTTACAAATATCAATCGGATATTAAAAAATCATATTTATATTTGAATAATATTCGAATCGAATCGGATATTTATATTCGAATTCGAATAAAATTTTCAAATACGAATATCAAATTTTCAAACCGAATATCAAATTGAACAAAAATATTTGATTCGTTTGCAACCCTATGTTCGATCACCTCAACTTTTGTTACCTCACGTCAACGTATTCTGTTAAAGATTTAACAATATGATCAAAATTGATGATTTATTTTTTTATTACTAATGCCAAGATCAACAACACAATATTCTCATATAATCGGATGAAATTAAAAAGAAATCTAAAGAATCTTTTATATATTTTGAAACCAATAGAACTCGGACTCAGTTTACCCTTATGTCAATCGAAACAAACGCAAACACTCAATCACAATCCAAACCC